CAGCAGCTTTGGCCGGTGTACGGAAGACAGCAATTGACCTTCTTTGGGGATGGGAAAAGTGCAGGTGCCAAACGCTAAGCAAGCTGGACCCCACACAATTAAGCCAACTGATTCTAAACCGTTGGAAAACTGGTTATGTAGTTTGCACGCATCTATCTATAAATATATTTAATACGTGTGTAAAAGTGATTCCAACGGTTTAGAAGGACAAGATTCTGAACCGTTGGAAAGATTTAAATATGTGGTGACTTCCAACGGTTCAGATGAAATAGTTTTGCTCCAGCGTCCGCCTGTTCATTGCATCCTGCTGTATACACTTTCTTTCCAGCACCCCCCTCTCATATCCTTCTTCAGGTCCAACATCAACAACAGCAGTAAGCAGATTGGAATCTGCTTACTGCAGCGGTTGCTCAGATTACAGTATTCCATTCCAACATCAACAACACCAATAAGCATATTGGAGTCTGTTTACTGCAGCTCAATGCAAATTTAAAGCATTGAAAGCAACTGTTTTCTTATTCGTGCCCACCGTCATTGGACTTGTGTTTTCATTGGGACTATGTTTGGGTAGGGCAAGAAACAACTGGCAGTAAGCAGATTGGACTCTGCTTACTGCTGTTGTTTGTCATGCTATCCCAGGGAACCCCTAATCATCACCAATTTGGAGGGTATTGTTTCTTATTACCTTGTTAGTTCCATGAAATACCTCAGGAATGAGTTACCATGATGCCGATAATGCCAATGATGCTGATCATGCGATTTCCTCAAAATTTACTATATATCTTCATTAAAAGCTCTTTAAGATGAATATGTGCACCCGTTTCCATCCGATTCCTTTAATTCTTCCTTAAAATCATCAAAATTATCAATGTTCACAACTTTCCTGAAACAGGTGGAAAATTTCAAAAACTTCTTTAACATCCTTAAGCCATCAAGGAACGCCAGGAAAAAAAGAATTCGACCAGCAAACTATCTGAAAATATTGATGTTTCACAATTTTTAAAAAAATCCTAAATTTCAAGAAATGGCCTCAAACCTCTTGAAACCTCAAGGGAAGACAGGAACTGAAGGAATCTGACCAGGAAAATAACTAAGAATTAAAAATTAACTAGCTACTTTTGGTTCACTTTTTCTCCTCTCCCCCTGTCTCTGTGTCTCTTCCCTTAACGGGGGGAGTCCGTTCGACTCTTCGGACCGCATCTCCGAGCGTTCGACTCTCCGGACGCACGGCAGGGAATTCTTTTTTTCCTGGCGTTCCTTGATGGCTTAAGGATGTTAAAGAAGTTTTTGAAATTTTCCACCTGTTTCAGGAAAGTTGTGAACATTGATAATTTTGATGATTTTAAGGAAGAATTAAAGGAATCGGATGGAAACGGGTGCACATATTCATCTTAAAGAGCTTTTAATGAAGATATATAGTAAATTTTGAGGAAATCGCATGATCAGCATCATTGGCATTATCGGCATCAAGGGTTCCACTGGGATAACATGACAAACAGCAGCAGTAAGCAGATTCGAATCTGCTTACTGCAGTTGTTTCTTGTCCTACCTTAGCTCAAGGACGCGTCAACATTCTTCATATGTATGTGTATATATATATACACTTCTATATACACATGGCAAACCACTGTAGTAAGCAGAAAGTTGTTGAGACATGTTCATCGGGGAGACCACTGCAGTAAGCAGATAGGGAACACATATTTTGTTATCATGGCACTACTTTGAACACCATCCGCTTACTGGTTTGAAGTGGAAGATTTCTGCCTACTGGCCGTCCGTGACCATATGAGCCCATAGTCAGCTAAAAGTCCTTTGTAACTCTTTCCATAGACGAGCTCATATGGAGTGGCACCTTTGCCTGATTGAAATTGATTCAGCGCCCGACTGGCATGTCTTGCTGCCCAAGTCCAAACTGCGTGATCTGATCATTTCTTGATACCAAGCCTCGACTGCAAGCCTTCAATGAAACGTCCTGCAAGCTTCCTCACCCTGTCAACTGTTGTTCTCGGACAGAAATGAACGGTCCCCCAACTTTGAAGTGTTCAACCTTGTAGTGAGTCATTGATCAGCATCTTTAGGATCTGTCTTGTTGTGTGTTCATTGTGGCTCCTGTAGGAAATTGCTGAATACCCCAACAACTGACTGAAATTAACCAATTCTTGCACAATGAGATGAAATTGATTCTTGCTTCCTAAAAGCGCAACATGAATGTATCCAGTCTGGCTGTCAATTGCAACTAACCAACATACTGCTCTGGCTGACTTGGTTTCTGAATCTCTTGCTCTAGTGTAGCAAAAGTCAAAGCTCACTTCAGGGAGACTTCCTCTCTTGGTTCCATTTTTATCTCATGGTGATCTGGACATGCTCGATGTTCAATACATTCCTTATACACCAATTGGCGTATGGTAGATGTGTCAGTCTGTGTCTCGCCTGAGTGGCTTCATCTGGCATCTTTGCCCTAATGCTTCTCTCGACTCTTGAGCTATTGCTTCAGTCACCAAGCTCTTGGCGTTCACGAGTTCCATTTTCTTGTTGTCATTGCGGATCTTCGTGTAGACCTTCAACTTAGAGCTGCTACCTGAGATGCCGAGGAATGCACATGCTGCCCTGAATGCTGCCAAAGTAGAACCCCTAAGTCAACTCTACTCCATTCACCAAGACTTTGTCTACATCCATTGGGCTCAACTGCAACTCACATTCGAGGTCTTCTTCCCTTTCTTTCTTGTCTTCTACCTCCTTCTCGGGTGGAGTAGGGGTAATCTCCTCGATTGCTCAAGCTTCTTGTATCCTGGTGCAAAGAACCCCATATCTTCTGGTGGCGCTGGCTCATAGCTGAAGATTGTGATTGAAGGAATGACTGCATCATCATCAAAGACTTGCTCATCAAGTTCCTCCTTTTTCATCATGTGATTGCAATATTCAGGCATTAGCCATTGACCTCCTCTTTCACCAAAGTGGTTTCATCAGCTCTGGTGAATCTTCCACTTCTGGAATGAATGTGGGATCAACAAATCTTGAAGTCGATACGCTTCCAACTAGCAGTCCACGCTCATTGAACCTCCAACCTGATTCCTCTTCCAAAGCTTCAGGTACTTGCACAGCAGCTTTCATCCTCATCTCGAATGACTCTAATGCGGCCTTGATTTGTCAATCAGCGATTTTGCAAGTTGAGTGGTGCCTTCAAGTCACCATTCCCCCACATTTGCTCTCTCTGGTTAATTCCCCAACCATGTTCCATCAGCCTTCCATGTTCAAATATGCCTTCCTTCTCTTTGGGGAACTGAAGATCACGTCCATTCTCTTTTGGGAAGAACTGAAGACGTCCATCGAGTCATGCACCGTCTCAGTGGGGATACGACTCCCTAAGCTTTGTCTGGTAGCTTGGTCTTTGTGCCAAACTCCCTAACTCTCCTTCCCTACTGTCGTACTGCCATACTCAAAGGGAATAAAGCTACAGGTCCTGCTCCACTGTCGATGATGATGGCCACAGAAAATCTCTTTCCTCCCCAACTCTCCTCATCTTGGGCTTTTCACCCTCAACTTCAGCCATGTCACAACCTCCTTTCTCTGGCTCATCATCATCATCGTCATCATCATCATCATCATCATCAGCATCTCCGATGTAGAAGTGAATCACTCGAATTCTATGATCTTCTACTTCATCATCCTTTTCTCTCAAGTCAAAGATGATTGGCTCACTGTTCCCAATCCTTCTGACAACTGGTTTGGTCTTTGCTGAACTACCCTGCTGGCTCACATTGGGTTGTTGTTGACCAACTGTATGAGTAGTCACTGATGCTCCTCCTGAAGATGAATGGGCTGGATCACTTGCAACCTGTCGAACATTGCTCTAACAGTCTCGAGCAAGATGTCCTGGCTTCCTACAAAGTGTAACAAGTTGCCACACCTTTTCCCTTCTGGTCTTTGCCTTTTCATTTGCCCTTCTGATCGCCTTCTTTTCCCTTTTGTTTTCCTTTTCCTTTCTGTCCTTTACCTTTGGCATCCTTACCTTTGCCCTTCTGGTAATCATTTTTGCATTTCTTCCCCTTTCCTTAGGCCTCTTGAACTCGATCAACGTCCATAGGCATGGGTCCTTGATAGTCTGTACTGCTACTTGCCACCATTGACATTGAAGTAGCCCACTTCTGCTGAGAACGATCCCATTGCAACATTTGTTCCCTCAAAGTTGAGCATTGTCACCAATTGTCAAATTCAAGTATGACTTGAGCGGTCCACCCACACATCTCAAAAGAATAGCAGATCTCAACTCTTCTCGAATTGTTGTCCCTGTTTTGACCGTCACATCAAATACTTCTTCAGGCTTAAGAAGCTGAGGTTGTAGGGCACTGTGAATCGAGCATGCTGGCCATGTACCAAAGCTTTGTTCAAACTCCTCCAGGCATCACATCCATTGGAGTCCTCTACAGCTTCAACCAATTGCAGTGCTCTGCTCCTCATCGAAGCTAACAATCCATAGAGCTTGATTCACTTGGTTTTCTCAGCTGTAGTTGCGCAGTCCATGTCAAGGCTCTCACTTGGCTTGTCATGAGTCTCCTTCAAGTCCTTCATATAAGCCTCATCACTTTCTTTACTGCCTCTGCTGCTAATGCTGTTGCTTGAGTACCCTTTGCTACTGCTATATACATGGAGTTCTCTTGTCTCACCCATAGTTTATGCGCAAGAATGCCCTTCTGACGCAATGTGCAGAGTGCAGCTCACAACAGTTTGTCGCCAGTCTGGCTATTTGGGTTCCAAAGGCCCCAATCTATGGCTCGAAACGCTCCCGGGATCTCAGTGACCTAGGGGCTTTTCTCTGGAGCTCAAAGGGGGTTATCCTTATCCTTGCTCCGCTACCATGCGAACTTTTTCCCGACAATCAAAGGGCTGCGGTCCAGTGAGAACATAACATGAAACTGTACATTCGCATCAGTGAGCTATGTTGCAAATTCTTCACCGCATCCTCGTCGAACCCCTGTGTGGGGTCTCGCCTGACCTCCAAGGTCAGGCGCTTATTCCATCTATGTGCACCGTGCGCACAGTCGGCAGAAGAGCAGCTTCCGCTTCGCCGAGCGCTTCTCAGGTCCGAGTCGAAATTGGTTCATCGGCCGTGCGCGCCGTCTCTTCTCATCCATTGGCCCGCGCGGCTTGCAGCTGTTTTTTATTTTTTGGTGGGGGGTTCAAAGCGCCCAAAGAAAATCAACGGGTCGGTCTGGGCGTTTAGGAGAAGGCCTGAGTCCTCTTAGGTTTTTTTCAATTTGGTTCGGAGAGGGTGTGGTCTGGTGCGGTGTTCAGTGGTTTGAGGGAATCATGGGAGGAATTCGGGTGTGTGTGGGGGTCATGTCACACAACTGTTGAACATATTCATCTCTCTCTCTCTCTCTTTGTCTTTCTTTCTTTCTTTCTTTCTTTCTCTCTTTCTTTCTTTGTATATATATATATTTCTTTTTCAATTCTCATAAAGTGCAGATATATATCGCACACAGTACGGTCCGGTGTTGCATTTTATGAGAATTGAAAAATGGTGTCATGCTAGGTGAGCTGGGAGGCTGGGAGGCGATGCTTTGCCTGACTTGAAGTTAAACTCCCATCTATTTGGTTTTCCTGGATGGTCAATAAGAGCTGATCCGATGACCCCCATGAATGGTGTCCGGAGGATGCGTTTCTGGAGCAGTGAGAAGTTCACCCGAATGTTCGCATCGGGCAGATGTTTTGGAGGGTCGACGCTCTTCCCAGGGCACCTTTCAAGGTTCTCAGCTTCATCCCGGACCGCAAACGCCCAGCCTCTCCAGAGGTCGAACACAAAGCCGGCCTGCAAAGGGCCCTCACGACAGGGCCTGGAGTCCTCGACCTTTTGGTGCACCCTCTCACAACACACCCCCGTTTCTGGAGGACGGTCGCTTTCCCAACCACGCCACCCACGTATCCATGATTGCTTTCAAGGAGTGAAGGCGTTTTGAACACGCGCATAGGCATAGGCATAGACCGGGTTCCATCACTTCCTCCGGCGGTCACGTCGCAGGGTATGGCTGGGCACCTTGGTCGTCGGCCACCCTTCCACTGAGCCGCTGGGGTGCTGTGGAGCTTCCACAGGTGTCCCACCCGAAAGTGGGAGAGATGAAGGGCGGAAGAGGATGGAATGCGGGCAGGGGTGACTTCGAGGATTGTTGCTCCGGTAGCGGTTGGTATATAGATGTAGTTAGTTGAGGCTGATGGGGCAAGTTTTGAAGTGATGTAGAACGTTTTGTTCTTTTTTCACCTACCCGTCGTTTTGTTCGAATTCCCCACCTTCCAGGACCTCGCGGCCGATGTCGCGAGCGATGCAGGTCGAGACCCGCTGGTGCGCGCTCTTCGGTGCGGAGGTGTCGTTGCTGGCGCGAGCCCTGCAGGATCCCCACAACCAGCACCTTGGCCCCACGCGGGCGGCGCGGCGTGGACGGACGTTTTTGGACGTGGAGGAAGAGAGAGGGAGGAAGAGGGAGAAAGAGAGAGAGACACATGAAGAGAGGTAGAACGCGCACTGCTCTCACGCTACACTGGTGTATGTGCCACTAGGCCGTGAGCCTGGGACAGTGGATCAAGCCTACAGAGAGAAGTTTTCCCTGCAACAGTTTGCAGCAGTAGCTGCAGGGCCCCCACAAACACTGGCCTAGCCGCTAGGCTGCAATTACATCTTTGTACTTTATTCACAGCGCTTCGCGGTCGAAGCCGCCCGCACGGAAATAGGGCGAATAGGGCTATACCACACAGTCCGAGTCTCACCATCTTGGCAGCTCTACTGGCACCCTCTTCGTTGGACGGGAAATGCGAGTGGTGTCCCGTCCCCCTACTGAAAGAAACATGAAGCAAAACACACACACACACACGATGTCAATAATGCAGTCTTCCTAGGGCAGCATAACCGACATCGCCAATGACTTGCTCATTTTGTGCCGGTTTAAAAACACATAAAAATCATCAAAAAACACACATTCTAGAGCAAAAATAGTTCCTTCCAAGCTTACTTAAGCTATGCTATCTGGCAATTCTAGCGGCTTACGCGATTTGAGACAACGCCTCAGCACTTTCGGTGCGGGCGGATTTGACGTGATAGCGGAGCTACAGAGGGAAGGAAGGAAGGAAGGCAGGAAGGCAGGAAGGCTGGCTGGCTGGCTGGGTGGAGGAAGGTGGGCAGTAAGAAAAAGAGGGAGGAAGGAGGAGTACGCACTACCTTTTGGAGACTCATGGTGTAAGTGGTCAATCCACACCATTTGTAGTCTTGCAAAGCTCATGACAGAGCGAATTTATGTGGCCATCCATGTTTTTACCAAACTATAACGCTGGGCGTAGGCGCTGCGCGTGAGCCATTCCGAAACGAGAAATTGATCGTCCTCCGGGTCCCGTCGCCGAATCTCGTGGGTCTAAGGCAATTCGTCTTTGTGTCGCACAACTCAATACCTTTGAAGAGTTCCTTGGCGTGCATGGCTTGATGGGTCATTTTCAGGACCCGATGCCCGGGGCAAGACGGATATGCATACCTGCCATACCTGCATGCACAGTGTGACATGTTACCAGGTTGGAACTGCAGGTGGATCATGTGAAGTGAACTTAGTTGCATGGTTATTAGTCATGAACATGCTTGTCCATTGATTTCTAGAACCGATGCTTTGACTCCTAAGATTGTGCGGCTTAGATGGTCGCTGCGAAAGATACCTGTTGCACTTACGCACGGAGTCTTCCCTATATTTTTAATTTGCATGCATTTTTTTCTATGTCCTGACAGGCAGGCTGACAAACCAATCGTCCCTTGCTTGCTTGCTTGCTTGCTTGGCTGGCTTGCTTGCTTGCTTGCTTGCTTGGCTGGCTGGCTGGTCGGTTGGTTGGCCAATGTTTTTTTCATGATTTCGACCGCCGGTTGCCGAAGGTATGTCAGTGACCCAAGATGACCCAAGCGTTCAAAGCAACTTCTTTCGATCTGTGCTGGTTCGACAATGTGTTGATGGTGCCTCGCTGATTCTTTTGACCAGGTTTCGACTATGTGTACCAGCAACTGATCAAGGTGTCGCCTTCCACCAGCAAGTTCTGCTTTGCGGAGCCAGCCATTGCCAAGCAAGCCACCCAGGAGCGGGGTTGGGATTGTGGAGTTCGTGGCAAGGAGTGGCTGTGGAGGGCCAATTGGTGTTAACTGATGTGGTCAAATTCTGGGGACACCACCCTGGAGTTCCAAGAGCTGTTGTTATTGTTGTCTTAATGGACCGAGCGCCAAAGAACCATGGTTTTACTATGTGCTGAGGATTTTGGACGACCACCGGTCAACCATGTTCAACGGCCTGGGTCATTTGATGTAAACTTGTTGATTTCAATCAAGCCTCCTAGCCTCATCCAGCATGTCGAACATGTAGATCCATTCTGGACATCCGTCCACATGAGGTGTCGTGCTCACCTGGGACCCTCCGACCACGTCGGCCATCAGGAGACCATCCGGAACGAGTTCTTGAGGAGTTGCGTGTTTCGGGACTTCTGGAGAGCTTACAACCCGCGGACGTTGAAGCACCACCAGCCGCTGGGATCACATGGATTCTAGCCTGCTGCCAGGTGGGGGTGGAACTCAGCCGTGATGGATCCTTTTTGTGGTGCTCAAATTCTAGTCAACATGTAGACTGCACCTGTCAGTTTTCAAAGGGCCCCCCTTACCATTCTCGAACAGCTGCATTCCGTGGATCATGTTGGGATTCACGACCGGAAGGCTTCCACACCCACGGGGTGGACGCTCGGTGTACTGCGTACCGAGCGTCACTGCGTACCGAGCGTCACTGCGGCCATGGCCATGAAACCAACCCTCCAAAAGCTTCCGCGTTGGTTCTGACCCGGCCCACCCTCGTGGGAGAAGAATGGACCTGACTAACCCCGTTTGAAACCCCGTTCCCTTATGTTCCCTTAATGTAGACTCTTTGATGAATCATAAATCCCTCCTATTTCTGCCACGTGTGCGTGTCACACCGAACTCGTTCGTGCATGCAAATGGGGTGGGTTTACTAATCAAGAGTCTACATTCGTTTCCTTAGCTTCCCTTATCTCGTTCGCCCTAATTCTTTCCCTCCACTCCTCGGAACCCGCACCTCTCAGGTGGGTGGTGCTCGCCCGGCACCATGCGGAGATCGTGGTGCGCCGCGCGGAGAAGGCGTTGGAGATCTGGCATAAGAGCTGGTTGAAGGCGGAATGGATGGGGAGAGCTTGGTCATGTGGACGGAATTGATCGGGAAAAAGAAACGAACAAATCCAGGTTAGGGAGGGTTGATGGGGGTTGTATTGACCAACGGTCAAACGTTAGAGTACCGTAAGTGGGGAGAGTGAACGGCTGGAGGTTCAGATGAGGTTCAACACTGCCGTGGTCAGCCTGTCGATTTGTAGTTAAGACCACTTTCTATTTATTTCATTTTATTTCCAAAGTTCCACTCCTAAAGCCAATGGCGCCGCCCCACCCACAGCCACGCTCCAGCCGCGGATCCGCGGCGACCAGCCGCCCTGTGGACGGTTCTGCCCTTGGCTGGCCAGGCGGCGCCCGATTTGCTGCACATGGCCGAGGGCTGCAGCGACGAGTCGGCTCCCGTCGACGCCTTGCTCTATGACTTGGAGCACAAGGCCGGCGGGCCATGGCGGGCCATGGCGGGCCATGGTGTGTGTTCTTTCTCCTTGTTGGGCCTCCAGCGAAGCTGTTGGGGTCGATGCGGGCTGAGTGGCTCCTTTTCCCCACGGAACGGGTCGGAGGGAGCGGATCCGGGCGCCAATGGGCCGAGCGTTTTCAGTCTTCTTTCTTTGAATGGGGTGGACAAGACGTGATGAGGTGGGCTTCCATCCCCAAGACTACCGGACTACCGCAAAAAAGTACCTCCTCGAACAGTAGCTGTTGGAAGAAGGATGGCAGACGGACCGCCCTCGGAAAGTGAGTCCTTCGACCATGGCGCGCCCACGACTCTTGAACTCCCCTCGGCAGGGCAGGAGCACTGGAAATACCTGGGCGGATCTGACGCGGATGGGCGTCGAGCAGCAGTGCTTGACCTATGTCCACTGGCGGCATTGCTTCACCGACACGCGTCTGGAGTACTCCGAGAACATCGCCAAGGACGCGTTGGGATGTGTGGTGGAGTACTGTGGATGCGTGAGGGGGGTTGGGATGGATGGCATCTGGATCAGGGCCGAAGAGTTCACCCGAGCAGCTTCAAAAACCTCTATGATGAAAAGTGTGCAAACTGTAATCTCACATTCTTTCGCGAAAGCCAAAACGCAGGTCGCGAAAGGTTCGCGAAAGCCCCGCGAAAGAAATTTGTTCAGTTTTGACCACCCTAAGGACACTTATATCGGATAACTTATATAGATCAATCACTTTATTGTACAATATCCCAATCGAATTTACCAATCGAAAACGAATCGCCGCGAAAGCCGCCGCGAAAGCCCCACATAACACCACACCTTCCGCGAAAGCCAGAATGCAGGCCGCGAAAGCTCCGCGAAAGCTTTGCGAAAGCAAACCTGGATTATACAAAAAAGTAATAGGGGTTTTCGAAGCTGCTCACCCGTCCTCCCTCATCATCAGAAGGGTGGATTCATATTCCACGGATTCATAGCTCTGGATGCCCAGAATGAACTGATTCACCATTCAACCCAAGATTGCATGCTATTGCTCTAGTGGGCTTTCTATTCAGCAGAGGAGGAGTTGTTGTTTGGCAACTCCAGGATTGACTTCAAGAGGCCCACAGGTCTACATGCCTCCTGTAGCAGTGCAGGACTTGGATGCAGTCCTAAAGCACGGCCAGTTGCTTGTGCGGATCAGCCTTGGCCGACCGGGGGGGGGATTTTTCTTTTGGTCACGGTCAGCTGGATATTCGGGGGCAAGACAATCTCTTGACATGCCTGGTAGTTAGTTCATGATGCTTACATATGTATATATATATATATATATTTGTATATAGTTCAACTGGCGGAGGCGGAGGAATGCCGTGAGGCGGAGGCTTGTTTGGGGGTTCGCAGCTCACAGTCGCTGCAGGCTGCGAATGCTCACGGATCGGGAGTTCAACTTCTTCAAGTCGGCTCTGCTGCTAAGTGATCCATGAGCAGATCTCTTTTTGTCTGTTTTCTTTGAAGATCGGCGTTTCGGACGGTGTGCGGACGGGTAGGTTCTGCCGGGGAGAGGTGCCGACTTGGGGCGCTTCGGGCGCAGGTTCTGTTCCCTGTTTGAAGCCCTTTTGTGATGTGCGAAACTCCCACACAAGGAAAACGGCCAAGAGGGCTTGTCCAAATTTGCGGGATCTGGGGCCATGGGAGAGAAGAAAAGAAGGTACTGCAGATTTGAATCCAATTAAGGGTCTTGGCGTCTCTGCTGCAAGCTCACTGGCCATGCGGCCCTTGTTTTGAGGAACCCCCAAATCTCATGTAATGTAGACATCTAGACTCTAGACTCTTGATTTGAACAAAACGCAACAAAACCACCATATGAACGGGTTTTCTCCAAATGGGGTGGGTTTTATTCATCCAGAGCCTACCTTGGAAGTCGCTCCCCCCCGGAACCCCCAACCCAACGTCGATTCTGTGCCTCGGTGAGCTGATTCGAGGAAGCGGGAACTCAATGGCTATCCAACCTTCTTTCAGTCCATCACCATTGAGTATCTCTACAAGTTAGTCCAGGACTTGGGATGTGTTCTGAGCAGGGCAAAAAGGAAAGGTCGTCATGGTTCTGCGAAGGTCGGAAGAGGGCGCAAAGGGGCTCCCTGGATGGACTCGTCCCTCCGACATGGGCGCACTTGTTCTGATCTCATCCAAGATGAAAGGAGGCCAACTGCCAATGGGGTCAATCAGGCGGCTGTTGCAGACGCACCGCTAGAAGATCACACAGCATGAGTGGGAGTAGCGGCGGTGGTCATGTTGGTATATGGGTCTTTTATAAACATATTCAACTGGTGGTGGCCAACCAACACGAACCTGGACCCATAAGGCATGACAACGAGGATCTCTGATCTACACCTCGAAAGTCAACACGGAAGGCAGTTGGAGGCCGTTTGGAGGGCCTTTGCAACTTTGCGCAGCTAATCCCAAGACCAAAACCATTGGATGCACCTTCCGTTTGCTGAAGGTGGGTCTTACTAACAGCGGAGCTCCGGTGTTGTGCCGTGAGTTCCAGCTTGGCTTCGCTGACTACTAAGGAGGTCAACCTACCGGGGTTTGGGGGCTCCGGGCTGAACAACCCACCGCCACCATGTGAAGCCCTCCGCCTGCGACCCGCAGGAGGGCTTCATGTTTGCGCGGAAGTTCACCAAGGGCATGCAAGTGAAAGTCGGAGACGGCGAGTTTCCTCTGGACGTGGTGCCACGGAAGCAGCTAGCAGCTAAATCCGTGGAAGTGAACACGTAGTGGTGAACATGGAAGTGGAGGCTACGTTCGCACCAGCACCACCAGTCGGCTTTGGAGGATGCCGTTTTGCCCAATGATATTTGCCAGAACAAGCTGCCGACTTTCATACCTCAAGCTGCATCAAGCTCGCTTTCTTCCCAAAGCATTGACAAAGAAATCTCAAAGGCTGCGGTCTCAGCTGCCGGGACACCCATGGTTTTTCGATGTTTTTCGCCTGAGCGGTTTGAGCCATCCCAAGTCCCATCCCCTTTTCCGGACGAGTCTGTGGGAAGGAGTGGGATCGGAGCCAATTTCAGCCACCGCTGGAGTCTTCCCGTTTGGAACCAACAGTATAACACTCGTGTGTGGATACGGTGTTTATTGGTATATTTATTGGTGGACATATGTAGATATACTTAACTTACGTGCATCTCTCTCTCTCTCTCTCTTTTTTCCTTTTTTAAAATTAATACTTTTCCCGAAAGCACCTGCGAAGGGTTCCTTCCAAAGGACATCTGCTCACATTATCTTCCAACATAATCTTTATCATCATCGCTACTATCGCATCATCATCATCATCATCATCATCATCATCATCA